CAATTATGATTTAAAAGAAGGATAGGATGAGCGATAAAGTCCGAAGCACACTTGTTTTTGTACAATGAAATTGAGTAAAGGGAAGGGAACAAATCTTTAAGAGTTGAAGAACCAACCCAAAGGTCCAAAACTTTACTGCCCCCCCCCAAAAAAAAAAAAAAAAAAAAAGAAAAGAAAAAAATTGACGAAATTGAGAAATTGGTGAAGAATCCTGTGAATTTCTTTCCATGGTGAAGTAAGAGTAGCCCGTTGAGAAACTCCTGCATCCCATACAGAGTTCATCCTGCCATGAATGCTAGCTATCACCTCATGCCAAAATCTGTCCATCTCCAATGGCCACCTCCAAATCAAGTTCCCTATTTTGGATCTTTAACCACTATTTCCCATCTCAGCAAGTGATCTTTTTTCTCATCCTCTGGTTCCCATAGGAAGTCCCTCATTACCTTCTCAATCTTCCTAGCCTCCTTCTGTGGAATCCTTAATGCTGACAAAAAATATAAGGGTAGGTTTGCCAGGGTTGATCTAATTAGAGTAATCCTCCCACCCAAGGATATGTAATTCTTCTTCCACACTGCTAGCCTTTTTGCACACTTTTCTAATATTGGAGAACAAAATCTACTCTCCTTGGGATTTGCACCTAAAGGAAGCCCCAGATAGGTCAAAGGCCGACTAGAGATGGAACACTCAAGCCTTTCCACAATAGCCTCTAATTCTCTATCCTCCAAATTAATCCCTGCAGTGCAGTTCTTTTCAAAATTGCCCAATCATCCTTTGTTCACTCCCTCCACAAGTATTAGATTATCATGAAGTTAGTAAGTTGACTATATTTCTAACTTCTTTTTTTATTATTTACTCTTCAAAAAAGTTATAAATATGGTCAACTTTAATATGACAAGATAATTATGGTTTAGTACCTAAAAAGAAGGTCATTGCAGTCCTTAATTTAAGGAAAGCACATGATCCAACCTCTTTATTCTCAGTTTTCTTCTAAAGTTTCAAGGAGGCATATAATCCTGCTTATTTATTTATTTATTATTATATTTATTAAAAATAAAATTTTATTTTCGGTGACTCTGATTCTAAATATTATCTCTCTCATGAAATAAATGTTTAAAAGGTAAAGATAAAGAAAACATGAAGAAAGAAACCCTATATTTTAATAAACCCAATATGATCCACTGATCTCTATTTGTGTCTTCTCTATCTCTATGTGTTTTGTGTTTAACTCTAAAAATTGCTATATTGCTCACTCCTATTATCAACATTTTTACATCATAGTGGTGAAGTCTTTATTTTTCCCAAGCTAAGTATAGAAGCTATTATGCTTGACACAACATATTCATCATGTGATGTTGTTGTGTTGATTTCAGTGACTTGCTTATTTACAGTGCCATTTTATTCATTTATAGTTTTTATCTTTTATATATGTCAATGATCTTATATTAAAATCATTATATATGTTGTGAATTGGGTTATGCCTGGTCCAGTTATGGACTTGTAGTACCAAAATCATATTTAAAGACATATAATTTGCTTGTCAGCATTGGACTGCTTGTCCTTTGTCCTACATTTCTCTCTGGAATGTATGGTTTTTTATTACTATCTACTTTTTTCATTTAATATTTTACCAAACCGGCCTCTTTTATGCATAAGAATGGCCACTTAGTGCAAAAATTGCCAAATGATAGGTCCTTGTCCAGTCTATCCCTCCCAAGACCCCAGATAGCCGGCACCAACATTGGCTAATGGCCCTTTGGTCTCTGTTACAGTTAGAGATTTTATAGGAAATCTTAAGATAGTCAATTGCAAATTGTGTTAGAATATCAAAGATTTGAAAGACTAGAAATTTGACAATTTTCTTTATTGTATTTATAGTTTTCAAACTCTAATTTATTGACATTTTGAAACTAGGATTATATTTTTAACTGATCATGCAATTAAAAAATTTAAAAACATTAAAACATAACTAATAGGTACTAATGGGCAGCTATACTCTTGATGGTTAAACACATTTTCCAAAAGCAGGTCAGCTAGGGAATTTTTCTAAATGACCCTATTACCTATTTCTGCCATGTGGTTGATAGGATTTATCCATTCGATAGGGAAACATCTAGTTCAGCCATTTATCACTTCCCTAGTCCATATCAGCCCTATTTCAATTGTATTGGTGTTCTTCATAAAGTTAAATAATCTGTTCAAAGTCTCAACATTTTAATTTAAGTATGGTGTCCAAATAAGGGCTTGTCTTGGCCACATAGTAAGTTTTTTAGCTGAAATGATTTAAGTGCTAAGGATATGTTACTGAGCAGAATGGAATGGCAAAGCAGGGTTCACATAGCCACCCCATATAGTTGGGACAAGGCTCAGATGATGATGATTATGGTGATGATAAACCTATGGTAACAACAGGAACATGTAGTAGCCCTTTTGAGCTCCCGAATACATTCCCATATTGAAGACTCCAGGGTCATTTAACCTGACTAGCAGACATGTTCGCTATGTATATGGAAAAAAAGGCTTGAACATCATTATTTTTTCTGGGCACTACCTGGAATGTAGATGTAACCATTGAGTCTTTTGTGTAGGAGTGGTCCTATATACCTGTTGGTGGATCATTACCACATACAGAGCAAAAGAAGCATTTGGTGCTGCAGCTAGCATGGTGCATCCAGCTACAGGTAGAAAACAATGACATTATCATTATCCACTTATTTTCCTAATTATTTGTATTAAATTGGTGCCCCTCTGTTTTACTTTTTCCAAACAGGCTATTCAGTTGTGAGATCTTTATCAGAGGCTCCAAAATATGCTTCTGTAATTGCAAATATGTTGAAGCAAGGAATAGATTCCAAGCATGTAATGACTCCTGATAAGAACATTGGAAATATTTCAATGCAAGGTACATATGTGGTTAATATCAACCCATGGTCATACTGATAAAAAGTCATTGTTTATTCTGTTAGGAATAACTGGTACTCCATTCGTCATCATGAAGGGCCATTAACCAATGCTGGTTTTCAATATCCAGGGTCTTTTACTGATAAATTTTTACCTGTAATTAAATAATTGCAAATATAATTCCTTATTGGTAAAAGTGTAATAATGAAGCAATTAAAAAGGTTGAAGATGCATGGTCTTATTTGGGCATACCTATGTCTAATGTATATGTTACTTCTGACAGAAAAAACCATTTATAGTTGATATAAACTGGAAAATATGACGAAACAAACATTAGATTAATTTTAAATTTTTATGAGGTAAGGTGGAATTTATTTAGATATATTATTATAAGTATATGTACAAGTGTGTATCTAAATGCAAGGTTCTTTTTTCATCTTCTGGACCTTTTAAAAACAATAAAACATTTTTTCAAACCCCAAAATTTACTCCTGGCGGAGGGTTGCCACTATTTATTTTATTAATCAGAAAAGGGGGGAGGGGATACATAAATACCCATACAATATGACCTGCATTTCAGAATTATGACAACAGAAATGCCTGGAGCTCATTAAATAAAAGCAAAAGAAAAAAACACTACACTTTCTAATATATATATATATATATATGTTTGAAACTGTTCTATCCAAGATTCAAAGTATTGATACGCACAAACTTGCATCTTGGGTAAAACAAAGGCGTGCAGCTCTTTTTTTTTTTTTTTATAATTTTACAGGGAGTCAGTCTTAGGCTTGACTACCCCCTAAAAATATAAAAAATCCAAAACCTTGAGTAGTTAGCATGTTGGGGTGTAATTGGAATGATATGATATGCCTGATACATAGCGGAATTTTGATCCTTGGTTTTGTTCTATTTTTTTGAGAAATTTTTAAGTTGGATATACTTACCTAGCATTGGAACTTCAAATTGAATATGAATTAAAGGCACTATTTTAAGTGTCAAATAAGTGGGCAAATGAGCAATCAACCAAAGTAATACAACCAGGTGGTAGGTGTTCAACACAATCATCATAAGTATATATTTCTCTCTCAAGAACAATGTTGCTTTCCCTGGGTAGTCTTCACCATTTGGTGCAGTATAACTGACATAAATTGTTCTACTACTGGATGCATGATGTAAAAATCTTCTTACTACATTTTCATTATCAGCTTGGAGTTCTCTTTGGCCACAAGAAAGGAAACGTCAGAGATCATTTTTTTTCTCTTTGGACTGGCATTAATTTTGCAATTGGATATTGAAGGCATCAGAACATTCTTTCACACTTTCTTCCGTTTACCTAATTGGTATGATCAAATCTCCAACTTTTTACTCTTACAATCATACAACATGTGTACATGATTGCATGCAGCAGTGTAATCTTCTATATAAGTTTGGATGCATGCACGGTGTAGTTTTATATGTGAGTCTACATTTGTGCAAAGACACGAGGACTTGGATTGAGAAACACACAGACATGAACTCTAGCATGGAAGTTCATGTTTCTCCGTAAGAAACAAATGACTTTTTTTCTTCTGGCAGACTAAATGACATTTAAATCTTGATCTATTCCATCTGCAAAACAAAATAATGGGACTTGGTAGTTGTTGAGGATATAATAAGGGAGGATAATTTTTCTTTTACAACTTGAAGTGTTAAAGTACTTCAGTTTTAACCCCCTCATGAACTATAAAACTTGTTTTGAGATGCTGATCAAGCAACTCAATTAATCAGATGAAAAAGAAAATATACAGAAGAAGTTAGTGCACAAGCACTCCTCATATAATCCTTCGTCTAACCCCATGGCTACTCCTCTCCAAACTGATGGGTTACCCAATACATATCCTTACAGACCTTTAGCACAAGTGGTTTGACCCCCCAGTACATCTCTTTTCTGCTAAACACCCTCACTGGCTTATCTGTCAAGGAATTTGCTGACCATTTTTCCTCTGAACACATCTAAAAATAGAATTCATGATGATTCCAAGTATCTAGCCTCCCTAATAGTGTATCTGTACTCTCTACTGCCGTGGTCCAGACTGTCTCCTTGCATCCATATAATTGCCAGCTGAGATTTTTTCTTCTCCTGAAAGTTGCTCTACCCTAGAGGGTGCCCAATATCAGCCCTTGAAATAATGATAGGGATTCAGCTCTTATCAGTCATTAGCCCATTAAAATTTCACCTTGACTCTTTAAAGGCTTCACCAATTCCTGAACTTCCTGAATTTCCTTTACTGCAACCATTTGAAATTCAGCTAAATGGCATTTTCAAAAGGACCAGGGCTTGAGGGGTACTGGAATGTCTTGCTGAAGAAGAAGATATATGCTGCCATCTTCTGATTATTTCATCTGTAGAGAATGCTTTGATTTGAACCCCCACCAGTTCTGAA